GGCTGCTACTGCTGCGGTGGCGCATTTAGCAGTCAGCTACAGCAGCAGTGGCAGCAATAGCAGTAGCAGCTGCCTTCCCTGAGCAAAGAGCCCAGGAAGGTAAGATTTCTTCCCTCCTCCCCTTTGCACACACTAGTTGGCATATCCCATCTCCTCCAGTGCTGAATGAGCTTCCTATACCTCTGAAATCATCTTTGGGCCTTGTCACACAGGACCCTTAAAATGCATAAACTGCACTTAAAAAGTGAGCATCCACACATTCAAGCAGTAAAAACACGTGCTGAGCCTGATCGGATCCTAGCAAAGTTAGGACTTTTTATGCAACACATATCTCCTGACTATATTAAGTAACACGTGTTCAACTATTGTTGGGCTGCTCCATAGAGATAATACAAGTAATTTGAGGGCCTCATCCAGCCGTGACCTCAGCCAGGGACTACTCTGCTATTCCAAGCCTCCACTGTCAGTCTTAGCTCCCGCACCATGCTGGGGCCAGTTCAAGACTCCAATGCAGTGCTGGGGCTGAGGCTAACAATCAGTGAGCTGCGCATGTAAGAAAGATGACGATAGAGCTTGCAGTAAATGTTACCATGCAACTACTCAAAACTTGTTCTAAGGTTTAATACAGCAGGGTAATGCTTACTACGATCTAACTATAACACGTAACTAAGTGTCTCATGCAAAAGGCCCTGACAGTTTGAGTCAGAGTAAGGAATATAAGGTGCCTTAAAGGCTTGAATATCCACCCCAGCAATTTTCCTGGGGCTAAGGACAGAAATTACACACAAGCGAAATTACATAAATTACACACAATTACATAAATTATACACAATCACAATAAGTGATTGAAAACCAGCTCATATCTGTAACACAACAGAAGTTCAGTGCACATAAACTGCTTTCAAAATGGCCAAAATCAGTTTAAGATAAACCTGGGTGGATGCAGTATCAGACTTAACTGATTCAAGTTAAATCACTATTAAACCTCTAACCCAGATCCCCTCCAGATTCAAGTAAATGCACAGTCCCCTAGCATCCCAGGATGCTTTGCTCCTCCCCTGCAAACCCCGCCCCCTCACAGAGTGGGCAGGTTAGCCTTGGCCCAAGCCATCTGCTCCAAATGAGCAGGGAGGCATACTCTAGTGCCCCTCAGCTTCTGGCCTGGGCCACTGCAGGCATGTGGTTGCATTTCTGGACTCAAAAGGGAATGTCTGTTCAGTGGCTTATTGGTTCAATCTATGCAGCTTAGACTAACCTGTAAAGATTTAAATTAATTCAGCCCTGGACTTTTAGACTGTCTGTACTTAACCCAGGTGTGAAAAGGCAGAAATGGTTGCGAATCCCCAGCAG